TCAGAATATTATTACGAATCCAAATATTTGCAAAGGAACTTACTTATCGGATATTATTCCGAATGTATCTATATCTCATTTTATACACGGTTTAACGTTTGAGTTCCGTAAAAGGCAACCGAGGGAGGAAAACATAATATTAAAAATAAGAAGGATTGAACATATGTATCCAGAGGACCAGTCTTCTGATACGTATCGAAATGCGATTATTAAACATAAAATATATATCTAAAAGTAGCTAAGAACAAATTGAAAAAAAGTAATATTTTCTTTGATATATATATTCTTTGACATATATATTTAATAATATATATATTTAAAAATTATAAATAATATAAATTCCGATATAGACAACCTTCCGAAAAAAATATGATCATAAAACCAAGAAGACTGGAACATATATAAAGTAAATGTAGTTACAAACACGCGGACTTTTACTAGCGGCACTTCGAACCGAGAATAGCTGAGAGTTTCTTAACGCGCAGAAGGCTTACCACGCACTTCTTATAATGAGTGATATTAGTGAATATAAAAAATCAAAAGAGTATCGTGACGAAATGCTAATAAAAACAGTGAAAACGATTCCATCTCTATGGAGTTCGCAGATACCGTTAAGCAAATAAACGAAAGCCAAAAAGAAAATGCGATGGAGACAAGTGGAAGAAAATTTGTATAAATATTTAAAACATATTACACGAAGCAAAGTTGCAAAGTGTAAGCTATTTTAAGAACAAAAATTAATTTTTTGTTTATCATAAACAAAATGTAATCATTACAGGATTAATGACTGCGGATGAAGCTATGAAAAAGTGGAAATAGGGACTGCTTCAAGTACTAAAAAGAAAAAAAAGTTCTAAAAAGTATATTTCTCTCTCCAACCTTCTCCGAACACTATTTCTAAAGCCTTGTGTTCACGATGATAGAATTCGGTCCGAATTCTCGAACTGAGAAATTTGTAGCCAATCAATTTGCAGCTTTTACGGATAAGCGGCAATTTTATTGGCTATACGTCTCTCCGAGATCTCGGATCAAGTTCTAGCATTGTGGACACAAAGCTTAATACAGAAACTTTGAATAAGTCGGTCATTTTTACATTTAATCTTTGTTTTTGTCGATTCAATAATTTTACTTTAGTTAAAGCAGCTGTTAATTTATTTTTCATAAAATCCTTTTGCTCTCGTAACAAATGCTGAAACATATCTGCCTGATTTTGTAATTGCTTTATATGGTTATCTCTTAGTGATTGCACAAGAGCTGTCAAACGTTCATTTTCTGCTTTGAGAGTTTTAATTTGTGATTCTGAATCATCTGCCTCATTTGTAGGAGCACATTTATTTATATGCATAATCTCTACACAAACAAATAATATTGTAGGATTTTGTAAACCAAAATTGTAGGCATGCGTACAGAGTACATACCTTCTGCGGGGTCAGGTGCAACGTGTGCATTGTCCAGGAGGCAATTGTACATATCTATAAGGTCTATGGTATATGTTTCTCTAATATCAATATATTCATTAATTCGTTCACTTCGCTATTGTCGTGTTATTTTGCTGTTGTTGTTTACTGCTGTTGTCGTTCATTGCTGTTGTCATTTACTGCTGTCGCTTCTTGTCGTTTTATTTAATATAAAAACATGATTTGCCGGGGGATTTCATGCTTCGCATATGTATTCGAAATCCATGCAAGATGCGTCATAAAATAGAAAATTGTAATAATGAATTTTGTACTCAAAACAAATCTTGTAAAAGAGTACATCTCACCGATTACGAACTTGAAGAAGTGAATAAAAATATACGGCCTTTCCGGCAATCCGTTACCAAAGAAATGTATCGATTGGCATATATTTTAAGAGATTCTTATCCACCAGAATTGAGAATACATTGCTGTACATTAAATATGTTGGGTCAATGCATATGGACATGTTTAGCTTGCAGTACAACTTCCAGTAATAGTAAGTCTTTTAATTATTTAAATATATTAATAAATTGTTAAGGGACTGCTATGTAAGACATAAAAAGGAAATAAGTGTGCCAAGACCTGCATCGAGACAGAAACAGTTCTATTTTTTTGACATAATGAGCTATATCGACGAAGCACCACAAAATGCACCATCCATGCTTATTTTAATTATGAGTAATATTAATGACAATGAATACGAAGAATCAAAAGAACATCGCGCCGAAATACTAATAAAAATAGTGAAAACAATACCGGCCTTGTGGAATGCACAAATTTCGTTAAGCGAACGAACGAAAGCCAAGAAAAAAGCCGAAAAATTGACAAAAAAACCGAAAAAAATTGACAAAAAAGCCGTGGAGGTTACAATAATGAGTTGTCATACACTGAGAAAATGCATTCGTTAGAAAAAAAATGTCATGAAATCAGAAATTGTCCGATTGCAGGAAGTGCAATCTAAGTTGAAGACCTTCATCTGGAATGCGTCGAAAATGAAGGAAATGAACGAAATAAACAACCGGTAAGGTTGCAGGAGAGCACGAGAAAAAAAGATGAACGAGAAAAAGATGATTACAAATCCGAAAAAAGAACTATTAACAGAAAAAGATATCATATTAGACAGATCGCTCGTATCTGTAGACAATTTTAAAAGCAATAACATGAAAATGTTTGCCGATAGTAACGAGAACCGGACAGCTGCAGCCGAGGCCAAAAATAATTCAACGAATATCATAAATCGTTTCAAGAAGATATGTCTTCTCAAAAAGAATAATTTCAAATCTGAAATTAAACTACTAAAAAGGAGAATAACCGGGTAATAAACGGGTGTGTGTCCAATCTCAAGACGAACAATATGAACAAGCAAGCCAATCTGCAGAAGCAGCATACTAATACAACCAAGAAATTCAGAGCTCGAGACTGATAATAATACCTTAAAATATGAAAATAAAGATCTGATGAACAAATTAAAGAAAGACACAGAAGATTTGCTAGCAGCAAAGAAAAGTGTAGAGTCACATAAAATATTCTACAGAAATTTGGAATTGCAATTAAATCAATCACGGGCAGAGTACAAGAAGCTAATAAAGAAAAATCGAGTCCGAGAACAAAATTCATCGATTACAAACATCGTTAAATGTTCTGCAGCAAAAGATTCTGCGTCAAATCCATTTGAAAACTCAGAATGTAAAAAGAACAATACCGCGACTTTTGCTCTTGCTCGCAATCTTTCTTGCTTGTGCGGAGCGAGAAAGATTACTTTTGAATTGAGAACCACCCGATGACATCGTTAGGCGCTTGGTAACAAATTATGTAATTGTTTACTTTGCGCCTCCGACTATGTACTCCGAATCTGATTACATCTGTTCACGCGTTTTATTGTTTTAACTTCATTGATAAGGACCCGAAGGGGGTCGAAACGTATGATTATTTATTATATTTATTATTATATATGCGCTAGCACTATCTAATTGAATTTTATTATTACGCTATAACTACTGCGTCTGGGCTCCGACTGGCCTTTTTTCTCCTTTTATTGAGATTACTTTTTTCATCGATTATATACATAAGTGCAATAAGCTTCCTCAAAATCTCTCGTGCAATATTGATCATTATGATATTGATTACTCGAGATATAATAATAGAATACGCGGGTTGAGCGAAAAATAAGTTGGCGAAGGCGGTTAGGAGGACCCAAAATTCTTAGCAAAAGAGACCGAAAAAGGGAATATATTTATGGCACGCAGTTAATGTAACCATCTTCGCTTTTCTCTGGGAGTAATGTGTAGATAGTAAACGCTCGACCAGTGAACTCATTTAATAAAGAAACTGCGCAACCTGGCATTGTTTAGTAATTAATTTAGAGCCCGGCTTAGTGCTGGTCTACAATAGGTGATTTAAGATTTAGCCTTTGTTTTAAGAGAAAAATTACATCGATCCTAGCCTCAAGCTCTAAGCTTTAAAAGATGGGAGTTGGCCAAGTCGCTTAGGGCTTAGAGATTAGGGCTTAAGGCAGCGCGAAAAATGTTTGAGGCCAGAAATACGTCACAGTTTAGAGCTCAGTCATAAGGCTTAGGGCTTAAATCGCCTATTGTAGACCGGCACTAAATCGACCCCGAACGCGTAGCCGCAGTCTTTATAGCAGGAAAATGAGCGAGATAAAGATAGATATTTTTTGGATAATAAATTATACAGACAAGGGGAGACGTTACAATGTATATACAGTGTAACAAACATTGTAACAAACACTCTACTTGTTTCGTATTATAATCTATGTACTAATGTCCTTCGGCTCACTGTCGTGAGAATTTGATTATCATCGCAATATCAGATGTCGCCTTGATGAGCTATCGATTTGATACAGAAGTATCTTGACGGGCTCTCGAGCTTCACTCTCGTCTCTGACATCAATACGAGACATTGTCCGCACAAACAGTATATTCATAATAAATCTGTTATATTATAATTCGCGCGGTGTTAATCAATTCACCCGCTTTCCAAGAGATCGTGGCTCAAGAAAGAAAAGACAGAGGTCTGTATCTCGTTTGCGTCGCTTAAGGAATATTACCCGAGAATTACACGCAAATATTTAACACCACTATATAGTGGAGCCCAAAAATAATTATCAAAATTGGGTACTTATCAATTTCTTCGCTCGCGCAACCGCTTCGCTCGTTAACATCAGCTGGTCCTTCGAGCCGAATTTCCGAATTGGTCCGATGACTGTATGTGGAGTGAGCGACGTTCCAAAGGTGATCTTCATCCGTAATTTTCCGCTCACCTGAAACGACGAGATGAGTAAAGAAATGGAAGGCACTGTACGGACGTATTTCAACCTCTACGGCCGCAAATCCAAACTATGAAAAATTGAAAATGTTGATTTGTCTGCGAATTTAATACAAACTTCTGAAAATGAAAATTCAAACGATACTGAAGCCGTCGACAATTGTCCAAAATAGAATTACATCCAAAAGATTCACGAGACATAAAAAATGATATAAATACAAGAATGGCAAGAGTAACATAGTCAAAAATAAAAGATTATATATTTTTGCGAAAGAAAGTAATAATAAGTTTAAAGATAAATCATTTTTTAAAATGCAAATTAAAAATAAGATATTATTGATAAGGAAATCGACACTATGTTGGTTTTTTGCTACGAAATGTGGCCGATTGTCTATAGATAGATTGTTACGAATAAGATGAGTGACCGGAGAAAAAACTAAAAAAGAATTAAATAAAAGGAGTGCCAACCTCAGAATCAATAAACAAAAGAAAAAGCTCTAATAACCCTTCATTTGAAAATACAACGTCTTTTATAATTGAATTCGAATTTGAAGGCAAAAGTATTGATAAAAAAACGAAGAAAATGAAACTAACTCGGAGAATATAGAAATAGAAAAATACTATATACTGTCTACTATGATAACACATTTTATATTGGAAGAATCATTGAAGAATTTGAAAATCCTGCAAAAATTAAATTTTTAAAATCCGAATTAGAGATTTATAAATAGTTTAAGGAAACAGACATTCAAATAATACAAAATGAATACTTGTTCTTTGGACCAGTTACTCTAATTGGAACTGATTGATATTTTGTTCAAATCTGTATTAGTTTTAATTGTATTTTGTATTATGTGTGTTCAAATTTATATAAAAGAAATAGTTCTTCGAATAGAACTCGGCTCGTGCACTTACTTCGCTGTGTTCGGTGCCGGCGGAAAAAGAACGGGCTATGCGTAGAGCAGCCTGATCTCAGCTCCGAATCTCACCGTTGGAAGGAGGTCTTCCGATGATAGACGCTAGTTCTTCCCCGACTCATTCTGTACGATGGCGGCATCAAAACGGCCAGACGAAGGTGAAGCCATATCAGCGGACTGGAGCTTGTCGATCCGGACTTCCTGGCTGCGGAGCCAGTAGACCTACTGCTGTGCGCGGGCGTCTACGCCTCCATCCTTCAATCGGACTTTCGATGGGGAGCGCCGCACGAACCAGTGGCGCAGAAAACAACACAGATCCTTAGCATGGATCCTCTCGAGAGCCATCAGATCGACGGCCGCTCCACGCCGCACGCTGTCTCACCAGCGCCGGACCGATGAGAATCAATCCGTTTTTGGGCAGCAGTTTTGACAGCAGGAAGCCCTTCACTCAACGAGCTTGCTCATCAACTCCGATGACAGAGTCCTTCTTGGCTCCGGCGTAAGATATCTTCGTGGCTGGCTCTAGCCGGCCTATCCAGCAACAAAGCTGCTCGAGATGCGAACCCGAGTCCACGCGGCTGGAGCGCAACTTCCTCCCGGGGAAGAGTCCGTATTGATGCACTCTTTGCTTTTTAACCGGCTGCTGCGCCCGATGGAGGCTCTCGCGCCGAAGAAATGCAAGCTTGGCGCAACGAAATCGGGCTATTCTCCCGATAGCATCCTGTCTGCAAACGAGTTAGAAGACGCACGTCTATTGTTGAAGCGGCCGTTGCTATCTGCAAAATACAAGAATTAGTTAAAGGCTATATCATGGGGTCGTCTGCCTGCTAAATCGAGTTCATTTACCTGTCTCAATTTCATTTTAAATAGCCAGAGCATCTTTGGGAAGCATCTCCAGCACTCCATCCTGGATGACGACGAATACCATCCCGTCATCTTGTCGGGTGAGTCGACCTTTATCTGGTTGGTCATCGAGGCGTGTCACTATGGGACGAGAACTGTGTAACGAAGTTCAGCCGACCTCGGGGATGATTCGGCAGCGCAAATGGATTCCTCAAGATCTTGCCAACGTGACGCAGAAGAGGAGCAACTCCCCGAGTGATTTGCGTGCGATGGCAGGTTGCAACTCTGCAGCAGCTGAGGGGCAGCCTGCCTCGAGAACAGGTGACGCCAGCGAGGCTTTTTCTCCATATCGGCATCGACTATGCCGTATTTATTTGGCTGCGGACGACCAAGAGGCGAAACCACCAGGCGCTCCAAGTAGTCATCATCTGCCTGCCACAACAGTTGTAGGTCGTCGCAGATTACACCGCCGAGACGTTCTGGCGGTCTTCCGACTGCGAATTGTGCGAAAACTGCAAGCTTAGTCGCGTGAGCCATCGCTCTAACTTATAGATGCAACGATCTTCCTGCAAAAGAAAAGGAAAAAAATGACCTTTACTCCCGTTAAATTTAAATTTAAAACAAAGAAATATTCAGATGGTGAAAAAGGTAAAGATACACTTAGAGGGAGAGATAAATTTCCTGTTGAGAGAGTAAATATATTGTTAAATTCATTGATTTCAGAACTAAATAAAAGAGAAGAGGTATATGAAAAATTAGAAAAAAGATTTAAATTTTTAATGGATATAGGAAACAAAACTTTCAAATATTGATAATGAAAGTATTAACTTTATTACTTACTTCTAGCTGCTCTTATGCAAAAGGCCGCATAAGGACGGCGTACACCAAACTGCAAAACTCATCGACGCTGGGGCGTCAAGTTCACCTGCTGCTCATCGTCGTCGCATTCCAAAACCATTCGTTTAGCACGTCCTCGGGATCGTTCGATGACGACTCTTAATTATAGACGACGATGCCGTTCTTAAAGATTCTTAGGTTATTTTTCGATGATCTCAGAAGTTCCTTCACAGCGGTTTCCATACGTGCTTCCACTCCGGAAAAACAGTTCGAACGGGCAATAATTGCTACAAGCGGCGATGTCTTTCTTACGCAGCTAAAAAATTTGCATGCCTCATTTCAGTATCTCATTGTTTCAATAATGTCATAATTTGTGCAAGTTTTATTACTTGTAAAAATTCATCAAAAAATTCAGTATTTACCTTAGGCATACTGGTTGGAAGTAACGCGGACATCCGGAAAATCTCCGCTCCGCCTTTTGCAAGTATCCTTGTTTCGGCTTTATCTCCGACGCAGAATGTCGAACGGCCTCGAAACACGATTTTCACTTACACCTCCCCTTGCGCGCGTGTTTGGGCAAAACGCGCGTTACGCGGTGCTTTTATTTCACTACAAAAGCGTCCGTCGAATTCTCTCATTAATATTCGGGATTTTGAAAGTCATTAATCGCAACAATTTCGCAAGCCTTGGACAAACAGACGAACGTAATAATTATTTAACAAGTGTGACGCGTTCGATGCTGTGATTTTCGGTACGTTAGTCAACACGCTCGATCGCGACTCAAATATTGCGTACTGCGGTAACGATTCTTCGTGGCGATTTCCGTCTTGAGCCGCCGATACGCGGTCGTTATGATTGGTGTTGTCGATCAGACGATAAAAGGCTGCCAATCAGCGATTCACACAACGGTGACAAACAACTGATATAGACAAATTCTCGAACCTTCGCCATGAGCTCATGATAATGGAATTCTCAAATGTTATGTATACAATTGGTCTATATATGTGTTCGAGAATCTTCCTCTCGACCGCATATTAAATTAATTAAATAACCATATAAACATAGCCAATAAATAAACATATAATTATAAAATTTCTACAGTAGATTTAAAAACAGATTTATTAACCGTATTTCTCTCGTTAATTATGCTAATAATTTATCATTTATCATTTTATCATTTTAAAATTATAACCTTGAATCCAAACGCATTGTCAATAAGAAAAAAAAAGATTATTGCCCGTCGAGATATAAAATGTATATGTATAATGCTAGTTAGTTATGATAAGGATAACTATGTTTATTATAGTTACACGCGCTATTGTATACAAAAAGTAAGCGTCTTCAAAGATCGCGTGCCAAATAGTTTTTGTCATCGCTACGAAATATTGAATGTACCATAAAATATATACGCGTCAAATATTCTATGTACTTTAAACTTTAATATTAATGGATGAACTATTGCAGTGTCAACTATCGCTATCACTGTTTTAAACTAAATAAATTGTGCGCATATATATGTATCATAATGTTTTTAATATGTGTTCATTAATTAAATCATAACTCACGACAGCATTTGTTTTATGAAATTCACATATTGCGAATCGTAGATTGTACATGTATAACAAATGATCGAATATATTTTGTGCGATTTCTCATATAATAATAAGGAAATTCATATATATCACTATAAATATGGTTAAATTTATTATAATTTATTAGCTGGATCAAGAAGCTTTTTCTCGTTTCTAGATGATTTCTATATTAACAAACAAAGAGAAATGAACAATTCTTTTTATTAATTTATTTATGCAATTATACAATTGCATGCATATTCTTACTTCACTATACTTGTATATATCATCTGCGTGTTTCATAAAAATTTATTATATTTGATTTCCATATACTAAAATCTTTTTTTTGTTATTTTAAAACTAGTAAAAAAACGCTTAATATGTATATGTGACGTTTTAACACAAAAAGATTAATCCGATTGATTTTCACTATTATATCCGTCCGCGAAATTCTCATGAGGGTCGGGTAGAAACAACTCTAAATTTATCTACTCGTGGCCTAGCGCAAATTTGGCTATTATTAATAGACCGCCTACAATGTTGATCTAGGTTCAGTAACGTGCAATCGTCTACATTGCAAGATATATGTTCCTCGTTTGTATCATCATCGGGCAAATTACGGTCCCGTGCAGCTAGAAAAGTGATCGCGGGGCAGGTGTCGCGAGTGCAAAACGTGCTCTTCAATATTTGCAATGCTTTTGTTGCTTGCAAGCTTGGAACGCTTTCGGACTGTGATGATTTCTTACAGTAGGACATCGGGACCGATTTCGATCTCGTGGTGCAAACACTAGTCGTATTACTAGTAGAATCTGCTAATGTTAAAACAACATAATTTTTTAATAATTGTAGATTATAAGAATGAATTACAAAAATGAATAGAAAGAGAAGTAAAAAAATAAAAAGCAGACATTTCTTTTTGAAAACATTTTTACGATCTTTAAAGCAAAATATGCAGGTACCTTTGAGTGACCATGACTTCGCTAGTGTATTATCGATGATACGCGCCCATCCACTAATAGAATCTATAAACATTATATACGATAGCAAATTATAGAGAAATATGAAGAAGAGAAGTCTTACGCAATAATCAAATAGCGTAATATGGATAATACATATTTCTATATGCATATTTAAATATATAAGGTATATAATAATTTATTTATTGTAAAACATTATACAATATATATCGAGATCACGAGTAACTATAAAATATACTATAACTATAATACATTTTACTTACAATTAATCATTCATGAAAAGATACTTTCGATTTAATATATTAATGTACCTCGAGTCTGGATGTCTTTCTTCGAAGTCATAAGAATGTTAATAGTCTTATCAACAACATCGCCTGTTTCCTCAGGTGTTACATTACACGGTGTGGATAACAGAGCAGTGGTCAAACTTTCAACCTTCTTTTTCATCAAGCCGGTCGGTTGCAGATGTGGATTCCTCGCTTTTTCCGAAGCTGTCGCGACGACGTAGCATGGATTATATGCCAGCAGTATATCCTGCGTACGCAGTAATTTCGTACTTTGGAGCGGCAAATCTTCTTGCTCTTGAGCCGCTACGCACCATTGGCATATCGATTGTCTGGCGCAAACTGAACACAGGATGTCTTTAGATTCCTTGATTTTCGCAACTTCGCGAACTCCAGTGAGTCCCGTCTGAGTAGCAGCGGTCTCCGTTTCCTTCTTTAGCATAGACTCGACGATCTTCCTTCTTCTTCGGTCGAGTATTTGCTGAAGGGAATCGGCTGTAAAGAAATAGAAATATTTTATTAGCAAATTATAAATAAATAGTTTATAAAAAATGATTTACTGAATTTACTCGATTATAACAAAAAAATTGATTTTTCTGGGTGTGAAAAGTGCTATGTATAAATTCGCTAACGATTCGACTGTTTTCGAACTTCCGCGAATTTGAATCCAGTCAAGACCGTCTGTCGTATCAATGAGTTTAGGATATTCTTAACACCGCTTCGTGCACGACGAGATATCTCGTCGCAAGTAGAAAGCAATAGGTCCTCTGTCAGTGGCAGGACCACGATTGACGCTTCGAAAGGATCGACTATCACGGGTATCTTTAATTTTCGTAGCACATCTTCTTCCTTGATATCACGAGACTTATAACTAGCCACAGTTTGGATCAATCGATCTTTCATTGGGTACTTGAGTCTCTTCGCTCCTTTCATGATTATTTCGTCAATCAAATCGTCGATTATAATTCGAGGTTCGATTCCTCTAAGACATTCGTCAAGACAGCTTTGCACGAAACCCTTTGTTTCTTCATACTCGGCCAATAGTTTGCTGTTTGAATGTCTCGGCTTGCAAGTCAGCTTAGTTTGAGTTTCATTGTCTAATACGATACTATCGGTATTGCTATTGTATCGTATTGTGGTTTGCGTATCTTGACACTTTACTTGGACGGAGGTCCGATCCTGGACGGGATCAGATATCCAAAACGCGCGTGATAGTAAGAAATTTAGAATTTCGAGGATTATTGCCTCTTCATCTACGATATTTTCCGCAAGATTTTCTTGATATTTTTCGTGTGTACGGCGTGATAAATCATTTACTGCTTCGTCCTGCGATGTTCTAGGATCAATCGTAATCATAGTCTGACTCGAGTGATTGATCTTGAATACGGGCATCGGACCGACATTCAGGGAAGCTGAAAAAATCTGAATTTTGAGATCTATTTAATAATGTATCTTTTTTTAATGCTTTAGATTTATCTCTCTCATTAATCGCATGCTTTAATAAGATATAAATATATTCAAATAAGGATTAAAAATATTAGTTTATATATTATTATAGCGCGAATCTAGAATTATTTCTAGTATCCAGCATTACACGCCATTTAATTTGACATAGAAAAGAATAAAAAATATTTTTGCAAACTTGTTCTTTCTTGTTATATTGTAATAACTTATAATTAGTGTAAAGTATTGGTTGCACACAAATCTAATATAATTTAAATGCAAATTTGAGTTATATTTTTTTAATTAAATTTAACTTTGTTTCTAGACTACTCATTTGACTACGATTTAATGTCAATAATCAAAGCTCTTCAATTCAGATAAATTATTTAATAAATATTAAAAAAAAAAGATTAAAAAATCTTATGGATATATATTTTCTCTTTGCGCATTGCTTACTTATGATATGTTCAGAATATTTCGCAGGCGGACAAGGGCTACTCATGTACATCGTTTGTGATGCTTCATGCTTATATTCGATCGGTATACCCACTATGGGGACACCTTGCAGAAACGTTTGATTTTCTGCATCTCTGGTGGATTCTGTTTCTAATTCTCTGGAATTGATCAAATGCTTAATAAGAAGAGGTTGACGGGAAATAAAATCCTCCTCGCTTATATCGAAAAAATCCTCGACGTTTGCTGAAATCTTGCTTGTGCTTTTAATTTCTCGAAGTTCGACATCTTTGTGCTTAAGTATAACATTCTCGACTTCTTCCCTTGGCGTAACCGCGATTAAAGTTTGAGCCCATGATGTTGGAAGAAAACCTTTTCCTTTTTTATCTTCTTCTTCCATCTATGAGATGCGAACATGTCTGTGAGATTATATATATATTTTTTTCTCTTTATCTTAAGTTTTCTGTTCAATATATAAAAATATCAGCTTAAATATATATATTAGGATATGGAAGAACAGATATTTATATGCTATTGTTAATCAACTCAATAATTTAAACTTTGCGTGTTTTATAACGTGATTACACATAATAATATAAACATAAATCAACAGTAAAATAATTATTAAAAGTCAATTACTTCTGTTGAATGTAATAATTATTCGATCACACGTCTCTTGCGTCTTACTGTGATCCTGCATCGATGCAAAACGTGTTGCACCGTAGTGTGATGACATTGCAAATTTCGCAGAATTATTTCGATATCACGAGACTTATAACTAGCCACAGTTTGGATCAATCGATCTTTCATTGGGTACTTGAGTCTCTTCGCTCCTTTCATGATTATTTCGTCAATCAAATCGTCGATTATAATTCGAGGTTCGATTCCTCTAAGACATTCGTCAAGACAGCTTTGCACGAAACCCTTTGTTTCTTCATACTCGGCCAATAGTTTGCTGTTTGAATGTCTCGGCTTGCAAGTCAGCTTAGTTTGAGTTTCATTGTCTAATACGATACTATCGGTATTGCTATTGTATCGTATTGTGGTTTGCGTATCTTGACACTTCACTTCGACGGAGGTCCGATCCTGGACGGGATCAGATATCCAAAACGCGCGTGATAGTAAGAAATTTAGAATTTCGAGGATTATTGCCTCTTCATCTACGATATTTTCCGCAAGATTTTCTTGATATTTTTCGTGTGTACGGCGTGATAAATCATTTACTGCTTCGTCCTGCGATGTTCTAGGATCAATCGTAATCATAGTCTGACTCGAGTGATTGATCTTGAATACGGGCATCGGACCGACATTCAGGGAAGCTGAAAAAATCTGAATTTTGAGATCTATCTAATAATGTATCTTTTTTTAATGCTTTAGATTTATCTCTCTCATTAATCGCATGCTTTAATAAGATATAAATATATTCAAATAAGGATTAAAAATATTAGTTTATATATTATTATAGCGCGAATCTAGAATTATTTCTAGTATCCAGCATTACACGCCATTTAATTTGACATAGAAAAGAATAAAAAATATTTTTGCAAACTTGTTCTTTCTTGTTATATTGTAATAACTTATAATTAGTGTAAAGTATTGGTTGCACACAAATCTAATATAATTTAAATGCAAATTTGAGTTATATTTTTTTAATTAAATTTAACTTTGTTTCTAGACTACTCATTTGACTACGATTTAATGTCAATAATCAAAGCTCTTCAATTCAGATAAATTATTTAATAAATATTAAAAAAAAAAGATTAAAAAATCTTATGGATATATATTTTCTCTTTGCGCATTGCTTACTTATGATATGTTCAGAATATTTCGCAGGCGGACAAGGGCTACTCATGTACATCGTTTGTGATGCTTCATGCTTATATTCGATCGGTATACCCACTATGGGGACACCTTGCAGAAACGTTTGATTTTCTGCATCTCTGGTGGATTCTGTTTCTAATTCTCTGGAATTGATCAAATGCTTAATAAGAAGAGGTTGACGGGAAATAAAATCCTCCTCGCTTATATCGAAAAAATCCTCGACGTTTGCTGAAATCTTGCTTGTGCTTTTAATTTCTCGAAGTTCGACATCTTTGTGCTTAAGTATAACATTCTCGACTTCTTCCCTTGGCGTAACCGCGATTAAAGTTTGAGCCCATGATGTTGGAAGAAAACCTTTTCCTTTTTTATCTTCTTCTTCCATCTATGAGATGCGAACATGTCTGTGAGATTATATATATATTTTTTTCTCTTTATCTTAAGTTTTCTGTTCAATATATAAAAATATCAGCTTAAATATATATATTAGGATATGGAAGAACAGATATTTATATGCTATTGTTAATCAACTCAATAATTTAAACTTTGCGTGTTTTATAACGTGATTACACATAATAATATAAACATAAATCAACAGTAAAATAATTATTAAAAGTCAATTACTTCTGTTGAATGTAATAATTATTCGATCACACGTCTCTTGCGTCTTACTGTGATCCTGCATCGATGCAAAACGTGTTGCACCGTAGTGTGATGACATTGCAAATTTCGCAGAATTATTTCGTGTTAAATTATATTTTACGTTGAAAAATTTTTTTTAAAAATTGAGTCATTTTGGGGGTTACGGATCGCATTAAATCGATTAAACGTCACGACTCACAACCAGACGTTTCTTATTTTTAGGTTTTTATATTTTACATATACATTACATTTTCCGGCAACTTCAGTCGCTTTGCGTGTTATGGTTTATGATATATACTCTAGGAAAAAAATAATACAGTTTATCTTTTTATATTTTATAATTATGTTTTATAATGATATGATTTCGCTGGAAAATTAAAGAGATAGTCGAACTACTTTAAGAATGAACGTTCTTATTTCCATCGGTTTCAAGAGAACTTTGATTCCATCGTTATGAATCTCTACAGGTTGTACGTTCTCTTCCTCATCTAGAATAACATCATTTGTCTCTAGTTCCCATTTCATACGATTATTTTCGCTCAGTAGCTGATTAGCGCCTAACGTAGTTTCTTTGATTGATTGAATCGAGAATGTTGCAAATAGATTCTGTTGGAATATAATAAAAGAATTAGAAATTTTTAAATTATTTTTTTCCTATATAGAAGAATTCTTAAATTAGAAATTTTTAAATTAATTTTTTCTTATATAGAAGAATTTTTCTTAAACTACATAAGTTTTCAGAATGTTATCGTAATTATTATATATATAAAATCAGCTTATTATAATATATTATATTAGCTGTAATAAAAACATGCAATTAAATATAAAATTAAAAACATACCTGGATATCAACTTCTATCGGTTGAGAGAACTGTTCCGCTTCATCAACTTCAAAGATATGCTCCAATCTCAGCAGGATTGTATCATCTTTCCACGGCTCTAAAGTAAGAATGCGCACGTTTGGCACCATTTCATAATTAAGACCCGAGAGCTGTAAATTATATTTAATTAATCGAAATTACTTCAGAATCGACTTTGTTTATAAGGTAACTTATAAATCGTGTAATAAATCTTGGCAAATTATTCTATGTAAATTGTCTTGAGTGAAAAAATTGTCGTTAACCCTAGAAATCATTAATCAAGCTTTATTGTAAATTGTATCTTTCATAAAGATACAAATTAGAAAGTAAAAATATATATACCCAGAATTTGTCATTAGCAAAATTTTTGATATTGCTCAAATTATAGGAGGTACCCAAGATCCAGGGATGTAGAGCCAATTTGAAGGCCAAGTCCTTTTCTTTTAATACGAATTCATCCACATTTTTCACTTTACCTCCAAAGAGATAATGCGTGCCTCTTGCTATTAAACCTTTGCCAAACGCAGTTTCGTTCAACGCTTCGTTAACGCCAAACGCATCATCCTTGAGAAGTCTTCGATGAAGCTAGAATCAATTTTATTTATTATACATGTACTCTTGTTTGATTTTAATATGTTATATATTTTAAAATATTTAACATTTAATATGTAAGTGTGGAATAGTAAGTCCATATAATTTGTCTACTTCCAAAATAAAGTTTTATTTAGAGTCTATGTAGAGTTTGTAAAGTTTATATTTAAAATCCAAAGTTACACACATTTATTAAATAATAATATTAAATAATTATATACACTTTTTACACTAATTTAAATTTAATCAAACATAAAAATAGATCAGTCAATTTTAGACAAATTTACCATTAATTCAACGGCGCCGTCCTGCGAGCTACTTCCGCCCTGAGCACGATCGTTCAGGACACTTAACTTTAATTGTTTCTTCTCATCCTTGATTGCGATTTTACTAGTTACCGGATAATAATTTCCAGATATCGGTTCCTTCAAATCCAAATTCCATGTTGGCCGATAATTTCTCATACGCTTCAACATCTCTCTTCCATTACTATCTGTATAAAATACGTTGTCCGTTTCCAAGTTGCTTGAGTATCTCGTAATGATTTCTTTGCCGATCTTATCCCTGAAGTAAGACAATATACAATATTATTTAATCAATTCTTCGATACTTATTTAAGCAAAATCTATTTCTCTTTTTTAAATAGCAAATTTATATAAAAATGTAATAAAAAATATATATATTAAAATTATATAATATTAAAAATTGTATAGAAAAAAATTATAAATTAAAAAAGAATTCTAAATTAGAAAGAAAATAGAAACTAATAATATTGTACGTGGCAGGTATCGGGCCAACGAGCCAATCGAATTCAATGTGCTCTTCTTTTGGGTAGATCCGAACTACTTGGCTGACCCATTCGTTTATCGTGTGATGAATTTCTTCCACGACAGGACCTGTGAATGAAAAAGAAAAAAAATTTTAATAATACGAAATAATACATTTAGTATAAAAAATGCATTTTTACATGAATTGAATAAATTCTGTATGTAATACCTTTGTAAATTTCGTACGATCCGGTGTATACAAAATTTCTGGCTGATGTTTCTTTAGGTCTGAAGATATACGCGCCGGATGATCTATTTACAGAGATCTCGTTATTACCTTCCACTCCTTCATAGAAATGGAAAGACTGCACGACATTCATGTCTTTCTGTTTGTTCCAACGTATCATTACGTTACCGTCATTGTTGATGGATATATTATATAACTGAAATTGGTACAAGAAACAAATTCTAATTATTTTCGATGTAATTCTATTATTACTCTTATATTTTGCTTCTTCAAGATTACTTCAAGATAGTTTTGCACTATCAGTAAAAAAAAACTGATTTGGTTCTGGGACCAATTAATGATTAAATCACAATGTGTTTATTCTAATTTTTTTTAACATAAATTATTTATTTATGGTAGACATCTATCTCTCAATTGTGTATCTATCAATATCTAATATTATGTGATTATATCAGAATAATTTTTATCAGTGATCTGATATATTTTAAATGTATTATTATCAATTGATTGTATTATTAACAATTGATTAATCAGTTCATTTAGCAAAGCAAGTTTTGAAAGTAATTTTAATGATTTACATCATTATTTTAATTGGCATTTAATGATCTACATATATTTATGTATATTTATTTACCTCGCTGCTTATAAATTTCGCTTTGGGTTGTTCCATTATTTTCTCCTGCGGTTTTTTGGTAACGATATAGGATCTCGTACCGAAGGGAGGAATGCCTGCACGGAAAACAATTTCATTTATCGCAGCGCTCGATCTTCCTGGGATTTTCTGTACTCTTTCAGGAATCGGAACTATCTGTACTGCATCCACACCTGTTGAATTCCACAAAAGTGTGTTATATATAATGCAAAAATCATTAATATAATTCTTTTATGTATATTTTATATATAATCATATGTTTTCTTATATTCTTTTATACACATATAAACACATAATATATATTTATTTTATATATTTTTATAATTTATCTGTTTGTTAAGAGTAATGTTCTATAAGATTATCATAAAAAATTATTAATATATTCCACGTTCCTATATAAACAACATACTATTGATTTTTCATATATATAGGTATATAATTACTACTCTTCCATTTATCTAAGATAATAAATGTAATTAATGAAATATTATACACACACACAAAATTAAATAATTGATAATAAAGATAATATCTATACTCTTTATATTCAGATGAAAAGATATTTTATATATTATGTGATTTTAATATACGCAAATATGTGTAATTCATAATTATATGTATATTAATATTTTTTTGGCGCATCTCTCTTTTTCTCTTAATGTACGTACTGTCACTCAACGATTCAACTTCATAAGAATTTCCTGTAACGGGAAGACGAACATAAGTATCGACAGATCTGCTCATAGGATTGTACACTATAACCACGAACTTGTCTTTTTCCTCAAAAAATGCGCACGAGCTAATGTTCAGCTCCAAACACGTGAAAATCTTGTAAGATGGTTCCGATTTATTCGCCTTTTCTGCCCATTTCCTGTTTCACGAATATTAACAAGATTGATACATTTCTGTATGATATAATACAATATAGAGACTTATATAATATATATACATAATGATGTATATAATGCATCCAAAAATCTCATTCGTAATTTTCGATGTTAAGAATTAAAATTAAAATTAAGGCAAGAATATTTCCTTTACTTACCATATGGCCTCCGAGATTATTTCTCCGGCGTCAGACATACTCTTGTACAATAAACGCGCATAATCGTCCGCGACTAATTGCTTCTCAGTGCCGGTAACGGCATCGTGATGCTGCATCACACCCATCGCTTCGCGGAAGTGTTCCAAGTGCTCATCATGATTCTTCAAGTTTGTCAAAGCGACGAGATGTTTGCTTGTCTAGAAATAAATAATCTATTTATTATATCTTGCGAACGAAGCCCGTAGATAAATAGAGTTTGAATATTAAATAGAATTACAATTTCCATTTTACCTGCAATAAGTTATTTCCCATACGCTCAAAATACTTCGAGGTTGGTCTCGATGAAAAGTAGCCGGTCCAAAAAGAGTGAGGATCACTTGCATACGGGAAGAAATCATCGTCCTTAGTTGGCCATTGAAGTTTCTTGTCATTCAGAGCTTTTAAGTAGCACGAGGGTGTCGAATAAATCACGTTGACTCTAGAACCATTGCGCTGGTTTGTGTATCTGAAAAAATTATACAAGAAATCATTGTAATATTAAAATGGCGATATAATTCTATCCTTAATTTTAATCATTATAAATTTTGTTAAGCATTCAATAGCATGGAATGTCTATAAGACAACATTTAAAAAATTGATTAAAATTAAAAGATTAATACAAAAATTTTAATCATATAATATGTGAGTGCATGTAAAAAGCTTTTTATTTATTATATTTTACCATTAATTCCACTAATCATTTTTATGCCAGAGTTTTTTCAAAAGATTCCATATTACTGGTACTCTCTGAAAGCTAACATTAAATGTCTTGTTAAAGCTTTATAAAAAAACATTGAAAAAAGGTATCTCGTATTTCATCTGTGTGTGTGTGTGTGTGTGTGTGTGTGTGTGTGTATGTGTGTGTTATATGATAAATTTTTTAACTTTAGGAGAACTTCTAGAATCTCTACCGATCCCATAGATTTCGAGATTATTTATAATTTTTTAATTATGAACTGTTACATATACCTCTATCGTAAAATTTTAATTAAATAACAGAATTTTAATTTTAATGTTTTATTTATAAACAGTATTATTTTTTCCATTTATCTCAATGGATAAATATAAATTTACTTGATTTGAATGTAATAAAATCTATGCTCGATAAGGATATGTCAGATGATTTTAAAAATCAAAGTCGATCTTTGCGGATTAATCGCGACTTACTTAATCAGCTTGTCCAAGTTATCGAACCACATGTCAGCCTGTTGGTAGTTAAAATCATCCCCCATGGTAAGAATAACGTGATTAGTTCTGTAGGCATGAGCTTGATTTTGCGCATATGTCAGGAATAGGTCCACCTGCCAATAGCGCACAAATTTTACTTACCGTGAATAAAAAAACGACGTTTCATCGCTCGCAGAGTCGCATAAAAACCGCTTTCCATCCTTTCGTTTCCCCCTACTAGCGATATCGTTCTTGCGAGGTAATAATGCCGTATTTTTGAGTTTGCAAACGTCACATTTCGAAAAGACGTATACGAATTATGTACATATAAGATGGTAAATTTTTAACGTTAATACCTTATCAGCTTATCCAGATTCGTGAAGTACATTTCCGCGTGCTGATAAGTGAAATCTCCTCCCATCGTCAATATGATATGATTCGTGCGGTAATAATTAGCTTGCTCAACCGCGTATCTCAGAAAATCATCGATCTGGCACAGAAACACACCGCGTAGATTATGATTTTTACACAGAATGAATGTCCTAAGCTACCATGTCTTGACTTTTTTTTTGTTAGTTAACAATTACGATTCTTTAAAGTCTTTATACATATATTGTTTTTAACCTTTTAGCTACTGAGATCTCGCCCCCTAAACTTCCTGTCCAATCTTTTTCCAAGTGAAAAATATTTTTTACTAAGTATTCGTATTACTCTTTTTCGTAAATAATATTTTTTTTATTAATAATCGTTATTAACTTGTCGAGAATTAATTAATTTCTGTAAAGCATCGCATCAACCTTATCATTAACGCGTTTATAATTCTATTAGTTTATCGTTAGGGGTGTCGATAATTACCATGTTGGCATTATTACGTACCTTTTTGTCGATGTTGTAGTCCGGGCTATCAGGGTCATCGATCATTGGCTCGTCGGCGCATAGAACATCGAAGCAAAATCCTGGTGGTGGACTGTAAGTGTTGTACATTGCGGCCGTGAATAAATTCGCTCGCTTGCCTAAAAACAGTAATATTTTAATTGTATATTATATGTACTGCAATTTTAGCATGCAAAATTTAAAATCAATTTTTTTTAGCAAAAATGTCAAGAAATAACATCGTTTACTTCTTTTCCAATTTTTATGCATTCAATTAAAATAAATTTTAAGCAAAATTATTTGAACAATATTTTACTATTGAATTATTAAGATAATATCACGATTTTACGCTAATTATTAAGAAAAAATACTGATATTGATGTCATTCATTCACCGAAAATATTCTTTTTAAAATTTGAGTTTTAAAATGAAGTTTCTATCTTACCTAAACTCGGACTGCTCTGCCAAATAAATTCCATCGATTTTTCATTCAGTCTTTTGCTCTTATCCTGATAATCAATGCGACCGAATAACATCCCGTCAAATCCCATCTGCGCGAAGAGAGAGGCTTGTTCTCTGGAATGGCCGAAGGGATCTATCTGCCATCCTATATGCGGCCTGGCACAGCTTCCAAACGTGTCATTGAGTCGTCTAGAAATCGACGATTAGCAGTTATACATAGGTAATAACTCTATGTAAGATCTTACACTCGGGATCTTTCTCATTCATATGTCTAAAATGATCGAAAACACACCTAAATCCCCATGTGAATTGATCGACCAACGAATGATAGTGAGTACAAGCCTCGTCGTTCATGCTCCATGCTCCTCCGATGATTTCCAATCGTCCTTCGTTGATCAACATCTTGACGTCGGCCCGGACTTTTTCGTTTTGTCGTAACCACCATTTCCAGAGGAAGGAGGTCTCCACGTAAATAAATCTACAGAAGTGATTAATATGAAATTTCTGCTCTTTTTGAAATATTTTTATTATATTGTATAAGGAGAAATTTATAAGAATATCGCAAATGTTATAAGAATCTTATCATACAAATAACAGGCCTGATAATATGATTATCTGCGTGGTACTTATCTATAATTAATATGTATCGGATATTGCATAAATTTTTATCGCATTGAGATTTATATTTGCATTATCTATTATCAAAGACATTATTTAAAATAATTACCTTCTGTTAGGATCAGCCAGCAAAGCCTTAATAACGCTATCAAGAATATACTGCACGCCGGCCTTTTGAATCGTAGAGCGACCTTAGAGAGGATAAAAAATTATTAGCTTTCAACCACGTTTAAAAATATAGATAAAGATTATTTTTTATATTGTCCACATCTTCTCGTTATGATTTTGTCGTTTACTCACTTCCGAAATAATATTGATCCACGGTTTTCAGCCAACCGACATCATCGTGAGTATGTGAGACTATATGAATGTTTAGTTTAGTCGGATCTACAGCATGGCATGCCTGAGATTGATAAAAAAATGTGTTTAGTATATACTTATTTGTAGTTGCAAAAAAATTTTTAATATAATTTTAACTACAAATTTAAATACATAAATTATAAATAGAATTTTAAATACGCTTTACAAGTTACATATTTTTATATGACTCAACATAGTATAATTAATATTCTTTACTCTAAAAAGAAAACTTTTTTAATAATCCTTTTTTTTTTATTTTAATACGTTTTCTTGTTTTTCTGATTTGCATTCCTCATTACTCTAATTATCAATCAATTTACGCGTGATTTATATCTACTATTTCAAGGGTTTATTGTAGCAATAATTTAGTTTAATTTTGCAAAACTTGAGATAACAGATTTAATTAATTTTTAATTAATTTTTCTAGTCTGAGATTCACATTTTTAAATTTTTTATAAAATAAATTTGATTATTTTTGCATTTTAATTTCAATGCTTTCATTTTATATTACATTGACACTATATATCACAATCGACAGAGACATATTGATGATTACACCAAAAGTATAGATTTTTAAAGATAAAATTGGTTGCATAAATTTATTTAAATAATTTTGTCTAATTTTTATTACAATATAAACAGTATAAACAATTATAAATATTTGTAAACATTCATTAGCGATATCTCATAATCGCAGAATAGCAAACGTATTCGTTAACGCGGGTTTGGCACGAATCCTTGGAAGCAAAATTGCAATTCGTGTCGCATTCATTACTCCGATTAACAGAGTTAATTTGCTCGTACCTTGTAACCGCAGTTCTCAGTGACCGTCGGTTCTAAAGTGGCTCTTGGTATTCGCGCCGCATCGACGAAGTATTGCGCGAACAAGAGCGATAGAAGTACAAGAAATTCGTGCCACAACATAGCTGAAGGCTGCTGCTTCCTCCGAAACGTACGCAACGTACGTAACTAACTAATGAGATGACTGATGGCTGCCACTTTATACTTATACCGCTTGCCCCAGCGTGCGTCATTGTGATAGTACACCGTGACGGATAAAAGCAGACTGATACAGACCAATGATGAGTACGAACGCAAAGGCGTAAGCGTCGATTCGACGATCTCAACCAAAGTTCTATTTCTTTTAAGACACGAAAAATGTCTTTTTCTTTTAGGAATCTCGCAATGTGTGTTTATGTCGTGTGCAACATTCCTTTCTGTGGCATTTGTGTTATCATTATGATTAGGGTTTACGGAAACTATAACTGTCCGGATAGTACAAAAAAAAAAAAAAAACCAGAAGACATCTTAAATAAACATGTCTAAAAAAATGATAAGACGTTTTTAAGTCGTTTTTAGTATGTGTCTTTTGGGAACATATGTTATCTTCTGAGTGATGTCCCTTTCTGAGATATATGTGTGTATGGCCGGTATTCATAGCTCATTCTTATATTTAAGATTATCCTTAAGTATGATCTTGGGTCCTCTTAAGATTCCATTCAGACAATGAAATGGCCGTATAACATTTTCAGATCTTAATTAAAACGATTTTAAATATAAGAACGGACTATGAATACCGGCCTATGTCCCACTAATTATTTCTTATTAATTTATCACTGAGAAATATCTAAAACAAAATGTAATTTATCAAAAATTAATGATATTTGATTGTGATATCTTGTTTATGTTTGAAAAGATAATTATCGATAGATTGGATTGTTACCGTATTATTGTCAGATGTTTATCGTTTTTAATGGTCTAATCTTGAAAGAATTGACTTGTTTTGAAATTGTTACATAGCAACAGTACTGTTTTTTTTTTTTTTTTTTTTTTTTTTTAAAATTTTTTTCTTAACCAAAAAATTGCGATGTTTGAGAGACAACAAGAAATATAATTTAAATTTAAATTAATGTTGAAATTTTGGTAGCATATATTATACTTTCCATTTTTATATTTGATTTTGTGCGATAGTTTTTTATATTTTGCACTGTGAAAATATTCGGAAAATAAGATCTTTGCGTATCCGCGTTAAATAAAAATAAATAAGTTTTCTTTCAAAAAGAAAGAATTTACTTACCGAGCCGTAAAGTAGACCACAGGAATCCATACAGAGGTAAAGGCAGGTCGCTACGCCTTGAATCCTTAATTGACCTCTCGATATCGATGTTCTTTGAAAAATCGCTGAAACAGATAATAATTGTCTCATCAATTTTATTAAATTTTTTTATAAGGTTTATTTATTATGACAATAAATGATCTGATCGTCCGACGGTACATATTTCTCGAATACAAATATAAAACCCAACAACATAATCGGACGGGGAAGGAACAGGTTCTCTGAATGTTTTAATCCGTCCAGTCTTTTTCTCTCTAATGATCCAATCTTGGATGCGATGAATACGTATTGTCAGTCGACTCGTAATTCATGACGTTTATCTCGAGCGTCAATGTTCACCGAGCTACTCGATGGCGTTGTCTGGCTTTGATAAATTAAGTTTGAGCGCAAAATTGTGTGTGCGATCGCGACCAAGCAGAGACATGCAGCATCGCCGCAGCTACGCATTTATACTATCGATAAAGCTTAATTCCGTCGAGAATTATTTGTCACGGGCGCGATCGTCCTTGAGTAAGATCTATCTTTAATGTCCATTTAACGCGATGTTGATCTCACCACGAGAATACACACAGAAAAATATTATTTTATTGCTAAGTAAAATGATTACTCAGTTTACTTTACTTCTTTTAAATAACAGTTATCTTTAACAAAGAATATTTTCTTAATAATAGTCTTAAAATAGACTTGTCACAAATTTTAGAAATACTCATTATCATGTGTACTCAAAACAAGTAAATATTTTCTTTTGAAGAATATTATAAAATTTTATCGAAGAAAAGTCAGATATGGTTAATTTAATGTAAGAAAATTTATTAGATCAGAAAAATTTAATGTATTTCTTTCAATTATATAATTTAATATTCTTGATTGAAATATTAAATTTATTAGGATTCAGAATATATTTTGAATAAATTTGATGCTTATGATGAACTTATGATAGATTTGCGGATATATAAACTTATGAAATACTTGAAACAAGTAATATTTACTTGTATATAGTATATATTTTTCTGTGTGTGGGAGAAAGAGCAATAAGAATCACGACGTTAATCACGATAAAATAATCATGAAAGTTCTGTTTTTAGACGATTTTTAATTTAATCCTAGCACATTTAAGCTTTATTCCTATAAATTATTTTTTTATATAACTTCAGGATTAAATAAATCTTTTGTGTTCTTTATTTTTTTTGACCACGGACTGTAGCAGCAGCTCGTGCAACGCGGCAAAAAAATGCAGCTTTGTACGCCACTGTCCTGTTTTAGAACAGAAAAACTGAACTAGAATTTTTACAAACATTTTTTTTTTTCGGGTAGGTGTTGATCGTTGTAGCTCTGGGGCAAACCGCAATCACACCCTAGTGTCAGTTTTCAGAAACTTTATAACAGAACAAAAATTCGATTTTATGTTTGTCAAAAGAGAATAGCATAAAACTGGGTTTTCATCTTTTTAATAGCATACATTATTCCGTTCTTAAAGCGTAGATTTTTTTTTTGCACTATCGTTATCGATGTATCGAATGGCGAGCTGGAATTTGCATAATACACGGTCGAACGCGGGAGAGAATGCGCGATTGTAATTTATCAGAGCCGTCCACTTGGCCCGCACGTCAGTCGCGTGTCTGATAGCATCGAACGATCTGACGAGATCGATGCATTAAATTGGATATGTATCGTCGCTAATGCAATGACAACAATAATAAATGTAATAAATCAATATGACAGCGATAATGCTCGTTGAAATCTTTGTAATCAATGACAGACGTTGTTATATAGGCAATAAAATATCAGAAGTTAGTAACATCTGTGCATCGTATAATCGCTTGTTCGCTAAAATTATAATTAAAAATAAAGCTACGGTAAATTAAGGAGATTTATCTCATCTACGCCTCCATCTTTACCGTTCTCAGGCATTAATTCCGAAAATTGCTGTAGTAATTTAGTTGATGTTCCTCGAATGACTTGCCATCGTTAAATGCGCGAGGAACTTTTCCAACTTTGTCATCTCAATGTTCTTCCTACCCTTTTATTACTTGAGAATTAGAATTTAAGATCCTAAAGCATTTTGATTATCTGAAAGCGACCGCGAGTAACATTTTGCAAATATTTTGTTGTTGAGTATATTAAATAGATAAAAATATCAATTGTTTTAATCAGATAACATCATTTTTTTAACGTAATATATGCAATGCTTGTAATTGTATCGCGATAAGCTGAGTACCAGAACTGTATACTAGAGTATTTCAAAACATAACACTCTGATGAGCTTCTTGAGTTATAATACAATGATATCATCTGCGTCCCGGTATTTTCAAGGGGAAATTGCTAAAATCAAGACGCTATTTAATATTCTAATTTTCCCATGTAATCTAATAAGAAATCTTGTTTTACAAAGTACTGTAATCTCAACGCGCGAAACTGAATTGCACTGATAATATCAACCAATAGCATTTTTATTTCATCGACTTTTATTCGAGAAGATCATCCATACGATGTCGTATCAAGATTTATTTAAAGACAGTGGTAGCATTCTCTCATCCTTTACCACCATATCGAATTTACCGAACAATTTGCGAGTTGAACGTTATAAAATCGGGTGGAAGAGGATAAAAACGCGAAAGGATGAAAATGCTCGCATATACCAAGGAAATTACCTGCGATGGGATGGGGGGATCTATGCGCGTAACAGTTTCTGAAACTACTTGCAATTTACGACATGTACCCTGAATGCCGGAAAAAGCTATCGGGCTAGTCGTCACTGCAATAATCCGCAGTACCCACGGATAAAATATCCAGCGCGAAATCGTTCTCGCGGGCTACCGATTCTTCGTCTGCGAGGATTATCGCTTTCCAATTGGCGACTGTTTCTGCAACGAAAAGCATCGTTGATTGTCGAAACTTTGGTAAATACGATTGTGGTGAGTATGTTATTGACTCAACGAGATATCGTTCGAATTACGAACAGCAGATGTTACTAACATTGCAATAACATTTATCAAAATCGTATTAATTATCTAAAAGCAAAAATTCTGGATAAATAAAGAGAGAAATGCTTAATTTAATATAAGAATAATGAACGCATTCGTAACACACCTTACATTTTGCGACGTTTTGCATTTCTAATTTTTGAAATCAAGTATTTATCTCACAAATGTTAAATTCTTTTCCATTTCGCACTCGACACTTAGCTTGGTGGTACCAAGAGGAAAAGCAAAGTGCAGAAGGAAGCACAAAAAAGAAAATACAAGGAATTTAAAAAAAATTTACGGATCAATCTACTATTTCGAAGATTAGGTCTTTAGGTTCATGGAATCTCTTGCAATTTCTTTTAATTCGTCTATTTATCACGGTGCAGAAATGTAGACGCTTCACGCCTTGCAGTCGATTAGATATATCTCGTAAATTTAGCTTATCTGCAGAAGCCGCATGAAAATAGCATCGCGTTTCTCAGCATGCCAAAATAGAATATCCATGAAGACTAGGATTGAGTAGGTTCCACTAGGGGTCTATTTCAGTTTGGAAACAATCGTAGAAGGGTTCACTCATGCTATTGTAAACGATAAATTTCAAGGTCAAGTTTGTACGTTCTACTAACTGATATTCTAAATGCAGCAGAGATAGATATATTGTTGCAATCCAACTATATACATCCGTTTAATGACGACACTGTGAGAAATCTATCTAACAATAAAATGCAGAAATATAATCTAGTTATTCTTGTTGCATTTAGCATTCGTCTAGTCGCTTACAATAATTTTGAAATGACACATATAATTATAGATATTATAATGTATCATATTATTAAATTTTATTTTAAAAATGACGTAAATTTTAAAATACTCGTGAATTTTTGGGCTTACATGCAAATGATGCCCGGGTTGCATGTGCGAGGCAGAATAAAGTTTAAATTATCGCAGACTCGAGATATTATCTGGTGCCAGTCGTAAATATTGACAGAGAGATATTACGATACCAGCCAAGAATAATATGGACTCTCATTTAAGCTGCAAGTATATATCACTTCCACATTTATACGGAATGTAATCGGAATAATGTATATATCATAATGGTGAAGGATGCAATCTCAAAAATGTTCGAAACCGTATATCCACGTGTAACTTTGAAAACAATTTTTCCATTTTTATAATACATTATACATATATCTAGCTTTCTGTCGGAGTTAGCGCGTGGAATAAATTGCAGCTCTAATATAACAGTACTGTTTTTTTTTTTTTTTTTTGCAAAAATGTGCATCCAGACGCAATAATTCTGTAAATAATATTTATATCGATAAATACACATTAATATACAAGTACGTATATCAAAAGCGCAGATGATAAAGTCTTATCTCTCTTAAAAAGAAATCTTAAATGTCTATTAATAATTGATTAATATAAGAAATTTTATATAACAATAGAGAGATATTTCTGTAAATAGCGGTATAGATAGACCGAGTACAAAATTTAAAATGATTGCCATTGAATAAAATTGCAGGGTCAAAAGGCAATTAATTGTAAAAAATATCGCATTCGCATCTGAAATCGCTATATAAATTTAATTATTGTCTGTAACATTTCTGAGCGCTTATTGCCATCGCTATCAAGATTATATCGAATTATATACATCTAAAATCTGAAGGTGTTTGCAGAGATAAGGAATAAAGGTCGCGGACCAATCACGGCGGAAATTAGGAAAACAACATATATTTATTTGCATAATATAATAAAGTAAAATGCAATAAAATGTAACACTGTCAAAACATAAACAACACTAAATATCTTTGTGAGGGGTAGAAGTTGTAGAGGTGTACCAAACAAAACGAAATTCCAAACATGTCGTGCGTATGTCTGCGTCATTAACGTTGCATATGCTATTCGTAACGTATTATTTGCGTGTGATCGAGGCAGATCACTGGTTTAAATTTTGGCGCTGATGGTGAATGAATGCAACCGTGCGAAAAACACATTCCGATATTTCTCGATGTCTCGGAGGAATTAGAATTGCGATCGATTTTTGAATTCCTAGAAAAAACAATTTATTTAATATATTGTTTAATTTAATAAAATTTTATTTAATTAAATTAAAAATATTAGAAATCTTGCTTACTTTTTTCAACTCAATTATTTAATTAATTATAATACCAAAATATGTAGCAGGAACGACAGTATGCAAAAAAAGTTACCACAATAATTTGAATCAATTATGTTTTAAAGAGATAAAATTTTATATGTCAGCATTATATATAAATTTCTTTTTTTTTTAATTTTATGAATTAATTCATTATTGCATAACACACATATACATAGATCGTTCATATATTATCCAGATATAGATAAAATCTGATAACATATATGAAAAAATTAATTCGTCGTGAAAGATAAATTTGCGATACGTACGTGATATGTATTACAAGATTTAAAATGGTACTCCTAAAAATCAGAGTACATAATCTCCTGTGGTTTCTCGAATTTAATAGGCCGATAAAATGTGAGTGATTGATCCCATCCACGCGGTGCCGTATTATAATTCGTCAAATTGTGGAGGCTGCCCAATTTCGGTCCAGTGTAATTGTTATTTTCGTACAGTTTGTTTCCTGGAAATTGAGAAACACCAGATATAAATTTGTGCGAATATAAATACCGTAAAGAAATCATTGAGTAATTGAAATCGATATAATTTTGATGAGTACAATTTTCGATATAACGAAGACGGGAAAATATATTTTATGTCAATCATCGCGTCTTTATTGTTAGGAATAAATATCAAAATCCATATATCTAGCAATATCAATCTCATTTCTTGAATTGCAAGAAAAAATCTCAATAAAGGACATCATATATAAACCAAAGAAATAATTCTTATTATCTTATGCAAAATATTATTATATTTAAAAAATTATTTTTGTGTTTTTCTATTTTTCTAAGATAGTTTTACATCTTCTTAATAAACAAGAGGCAGATTTCATATTTCTTTACATAATTTAGCAATATGTGACTAGTCCTAATTAAAATACATTTTCTACCGAACATTATGTGAGGATATATGTTAAAGATCGTTTTGCATGTTTAATAGCGGTGGCAATAACATCAGGATTACAAAAGCGCATGCATGTTAACTTGCCTAATTCCGGATTAACGTCACTGATTTTGCACTCTGGCGTAGCGGTGCCTAAGAGATTATCCAAGATCGGCGTGCTACGAAGATGTTTCTTGGTCTCGAGTATACCCTCCTGCGAAGCGACCATCGAGAGCATCAGCGACTTCGCTTCGGGCGGTATCTCAGCCTCGGTATTAACGAATCTCGTGTCGATGCTGCTGGCATAAAGGGCTTCCAATTCCTGCGAGGCAATCGAATGACGCCGAGTATCCGAATATTCGTCCTCGAACGTGAATGAGCACTCGCTGCTTTCGCAGCGATTCAACAGGGCGGACGGCGCGGAATGGCCGCAATCTATGGAACCAGCCGCGTTCGGATAGTCGTTGATTTCTTCCTCGAAATCGGTGTCATCTGTCGTGTATTCGCTCTCATCAGTGGAAACGTAACCGTTGTATCGGGACTGTAGTTTCGCTGATCCTTCTTTATAGTTCTCGCGTGCACTGTTGAATTGTCCGTTGCATTGGGGCTGCAGTTTCCTCTCGTAATTTCCGCGCGGGTCATATAATCGGCCATTATATCGGGACTGTAGTTGGGATTGTAGTTGGGCAGACCCTTCATAGTTTTCGCGTGCGCTGTATAATTTATTATGAAATAGTTTCTTGATCATTTCGAGATTAAGCGCCTAATTCTTTTATTTTAGACTTCATTTAAATGTTCGCAGTATTATGTGAATAATGTCTATTACGTTTGCGATAAAAAAAATATATAATGTCGTGTGTTGTTCGACATTAAACGAGCAAATCAAGCTTCTTTGAAGTTTTTAAGATACGTTAATCACGAGCGAATCATTTGGATAATTTTCTTGATTGCGAAAAGACGGAATATTATGTATATTGCAATAAAAGAAAAAAAAAAGATAAAATAAAAAATGATAAGATAAAAGAAAAAATAAAATAAAATAATTATAAATAAAATAAAAAAATCACAAATTATTAAATTATCATTTAAATTAGTCGAAGAATCCTCAAATTCTCACCGTGCGTATTCCTCCTCTCCATTATTATACTTGGTAGGATTTCTCGTCTCGAAAAAACGCGCTATATCATTGTCCAATGGACACTGTTGTACGATTGGAATGATCTTCGGACTGATTTGTTTGTATTGCAGAACTGGTCTACAGGTCTTCTCAAATTCTTGTATCAATTGCTTTACTGGTACAGGTGTATACTCATTTTCTTCATTATCATTCTGCATCTGGATCTGTTGCTTATTTCCAATCTTATCGTCAATCACGTTATCATCGTACTTCTTATCAAAACGCTGTTGAATTCCCGTGTCTTTATTATTATAGCTCTGCACGTTGCAAAAATTGGATTTCCTCGATGACTGATAATTATTAATGTATCTGTTATTGTTATTGGCGGCAGAGCGATAATTAGTAATATTAGCGCGTCGATCGTTAGCAGATTCGTAAGCGATACGATGGGACTTCTCAACGATGGATGATCGAGATTGATCCAGAGGGAAATCGGAGTCTGTGCCGACCGCAATTTCTCGCAGATAAATCTTTTTTACCTCGCTCGAATGATCGCATCGGTTAGTATTGCAGCGCGATCGGTGCCTGTCTGCAATTCGCAAATTAAAATTGAAGCAGCAAAACATAGAGATTAGAAAAAGCCTTGTTGTGAAATCTTATATAAGCGGCATCTTTTAAAAAGATTTAAAAAATATTACATATTTGAAAAGAACACACACAAAATGATAAAAATGGAAAACATTAATTATCAAAAATATTACATATTTCTCGGCCCACTTTTTATATGTATAATAATATCTTCTTTAAAGACATGCAACATTTCAGATACATCTGTCTTTTTTTAAAAGCACATGATATATTCTTCTTACAATATGAATGTTATTTTATCAAAAAATATATATATATCCTTAACATTTTATACGCTTGGCGATATGAGACTTTAATATATCATTTTATCGCGAAATTTAAACTGCTTATTTAATCTTTAATGGTTCAGTTACAAAAAAAAAAAATAATTGGCATCGGAAGATATACAATTCATTGTTTGTTTTAGATATGTCGTTATATATATATAAGATGTCAAGCGCGCGCGTTTCAGGTCGATTAAATAACATCGATAACGCTTGCCAATTAGATCATCAAAGATCGTTCAACTCGAGCTTCAACTGGCCGGTCCAACATTGATCTCTATTTCGGAGACGTGTCAAGTATCTTCGACATTCTAGAACACTTCCCTGTTAACGCATGTCTGATACAAAAAAGAGGGCGAAACTCTTAAAAAAATTTTCATATTTGATAAATACAAAATTAATTGTATTCTTATTTCTCTTTTTATAATATAATTATTA